CTAGATCTTTTTTAATGGATTTGGGCGTTTCCCATGGCTCATTTTTGGATACACTGTGTTTTTATTATCATTAGTCCCTGAATCGGTTTGTATGTTAATGGCACAAATATTTACATTCGTCTTAAAAGTAGGACTGACAGATTTAATAAAGTCAAATTGACATCTGCTCTTGAAGATTACCTACTCTCTGTTGTAAACTTCGGCAAAAAGTGTATCGTTATTATTAACGCCGCTAAAACGAAATCGCTCTCAATTAATCATCTAACAAAAGCATGGCTGACGATAACATCCAGTAGAGCAACTCATAGCAAATTATTTGTCTCACGATGTCCACTGACATGGAATGGAATGATTATATTGAAACAACTGCTAAGACTGCAGCCAGGAAAGTTGGTTCACAGTGTAATAATTTACAATAATTTACGCCAGAATCTATCTATCACATTTATAAATCTACAATTCGTCCTTGCATCGTTTTCACATCTATTCTGAAGTTTCTGATCTGTTTCTATAGATTCTTATCAAAATCCTAAAAGAAGCGGCAACATTATTAGTCCTGACGTGGTATCTCGGATTCAATCATTTTCTCATCACTGTACAGCAGCTTACCTTCATGACTTCTATAAATAATATCCCTTTACTTGTTCTGATGAACTTACCTCGGTGTTACATCGAATTCACGAATTTAAGTACTGAATTGGCTGTTCGGTATCATAAGTCCACTGTCGAATTTGCCATATGTAAACATAAGTTCTATGATGATATTTTCTTCTCTCGAAATTCTCGCATATGGAAATCCCAGTTAGCTTCCTGATCTCAAATCAATAATCGTCATCACTTATCTAATCTGATTCTTATTCTTTTGTTGTCTCATCTCTTTCTTTCAGTCTCAGTAATCCATAGTTTCCTAGTATCTTTTTATTTATTACTCAAAGTAAAATGGTTTTTAAAAAAGACAGACATTGAATCGTATGGAGAAAGAAGGCGCAGAATTAAGTTATAAAAGCTGTTATGATTAATGATATTCGAATTATATATATATATATATATATATATATATATATATATATATATATATATATATATATATATTCACAGACTAACGATTGCTTCCAGCATGAAAACAGCCTGTCGCCTCTGAGTGTTGACTTTCAATGTTCACTTTCATAACTATATTTACATAGGCTCTATCTCTGATATTGAGCACTTTATCACATAAATATCGAACGTTAAAACTATATTTCTTTATATATATATATATATATATATATATATATATAAAGAAATATGAAAAAAATATATATATAAAGAAATATGAAAAAAATTATATATATATATATATATATATATAAAGAAATATAAAAGAAAATATATATATAAAGAAATATAAAAGAAATATATATATATAATGAAATATAAAAAAAATATATATATATATATATATATATATATATATAAAGAAATATAAAAAAAATATATATATATATATATAAAGAAATATAAAGATATATATATATATAAAGAAATATAAAAGAAATATATATATATATAAAGAAATATAAAAAAAATATATATATATATAAAGAAATATAAAAAGAAATATATATATATATATATAAAAAATAAAAAAGAATATATATATATATATATATATATATATATATATATATATATATATATATATATATGTATGTATATATATATATATATAGAGAGAGACAGAGATAGAAAGTGAGTGAATTTCCTCTAAACGGTTATAGAATTTTGGCGTGGAATGCTATATTTTTGAATGGCAGATAATATAACTTATTTTTCAGAACAAGCATCGGCCTTCAGGATATAGACGATCCAGGCTTAGAAATGTCTTCTATCAATTATCTGTGAATTATCATGAGATATTGGAAGTTATATCAGATTGGCTTCTCGATGCCGTTAGAATTCAGAATTTCCCTTCTACTGAACATTATCGACATCCTCCCCTTCCTTGATGGAGTATGAAGAAATGGATCCATACCTTTTCCAAAGCCATAAGTGAGAAGTTCAATCAGGGCGAATGGAACGAGAATGCAATTCCTTCTACCAATTTCTCTTTACGTGCCAATAAACATTACCTTCCCATCACATGCAACATTTAAGACTTAAGAACATAGTTATTTTTAATCATGTCAACCCAAAGCAAGGGGTTACTGAGTGCAAAAGAATAGTAGGAATAGTATATCAATATTAACAAGGGAGAACAATAAAAAATACATTTTTAAGAAGACAAACGATGACATTTGACATTATATTTAAATATTTGAAGATCAAAATTGACTGAAATGAATGAAGCTGGAAGAGAGTTCCAAAAACAAATAGTGCATGGGAAGATTAAGTTAGCATATAACTTACAATCACATCTAGAAATTGCGAATGAAAAATGATGAGACTGAGTTGCCAATCTAGTACTGCGCTTAAATACGTAAAATGGAGGTACCAATAAATAACCAAGTTGAAATGTAGCATAATATATTAGCGAATTCGTTTTCCTTACACAGACACACAGACACACACACACACACACACACACACATATATATATATGTGTGTGTGTTCGTGAGTTTGTCTGACGATCGCTAAAGCGTGAAACCCAGGGTCACAAACTCACATCTATCCAACCAAATATGTATATAAAAAATTATACATATATATATATATTTATATTTATATACGCTTTTCACACACACACACACACACACACACACACACACACATATACACACATATACACACATATATATATATATATATATATATATATATATATATATATATCGGGGTATTGAGATTCGAAGCGATGTCTCATCGGAAAGAGAAGATTCTAACCATGTACACTTTCTCTCTGTCATCTTAAAAAATGATTTTTCAGTCACACCAGCAATATTTGGCGTCTTCTGACCAGAGTAAGTGACGTTCTGGTTAAGATGATAAACTATATCCACGCCCAGGGAAACGCAATATACTACATACAACAGCAAGGCCTCTGATCAGTAGGCTTTGAGGAGCGTGGAACCACATCTTATTTGCTGGTGTTCCCAGATCCACCCTCACCCGCAGTGGTAGCACCTGTTAGGGTACCAGTTACAGGTAAATAGTTAGCCCCCAAACTGGAGTCAAAACATTGTGAAAGTGTAAAAATAGGTTTTAATACCAGCGATATATTTTTGAAAAAAAGTATTATTACCAGCAATGATTTTTTGAGGAAAAGATTTTTACCAGCAATACATTATTACGAGCAATACATTTTTTAAAAAGGAAAATATTACCAGCACTATATTTTGGGAAAAAATATTACCAGCATTAAAAATTTTGTTGGCATTAAATAACCAATTGAAGTTGCTATGCCATAAAACAAAGCAAAGAAAAACAAAACTAGAGTAAGTGACAACAAAATTTGTTTGAAAATATATCAGGTGTCATGACTAGAAAATGTCAAAAACTATATATAAGTCATAAGAATTATGCAACGACTATCTTGCTCATAACTATTTCTTTAATTTAAGCAACGTACGCATGTATATATGTATGTATCTATCTATTTAAATCTTTTTCTATCTATCGCTCGATCTGTGTCTGTTTGTTCCTATGTAATTTGATATCTATCTATCAATTTATCTAGGTGCACACACACACACATGCGAGACGCAATCGTCAGACCGCGAATATTGGATTTTTCCTCGACTATATATATATATATATATATATATATATGTGTGTCTGTGCTGCATTGCGGGTAATCTATTCTGGTGGTTATTTCTGCGGGAGTGGGTTGTTTATTTATTTATTTTTTTAGGTTAATTTATTTTACTTGTTTGACATTTTCATTGTGTATATTTTATTCTTTTCGGTTTTTGATTTTTTATTAACGTAGTAAAAAAAAATGGACAATATGCTTAGATCGCTTATTTAATAGTTTGTTTTGGTCTGTGAAGAAAATTAAAGCTCGTTATTCGTCCAATGTTTAGCTTGCTTGCCGTAGTCTATTCTGTTATTTTGGCGGTGAGGGGACTCGTTTTAATTTTTTCATTTATTTATTTACTTGGACTGAATATTTTGACTTGATTATTTATGCTTACTTTTATTTGTTCTAACGGGTATTTTAGCGGGGACCATTTGTTAATTTGTTCTGTTATTTGGATTAATTTTTATTTATTTTTGTTTATTTACTTATTTTTTGTTTTGTATATTTTTATTTACTCAATTTGGTTTTCTATTTTTGAGTAACGTAGTAATATTTTGTCGTTTATTTCTAGTTATATTTTAATCTACATTGGTAATATATTCTAATTCTGCTCCGGGATATCTAGTTAAGTTCTTATTAAGTAAAATGCTTAGTTACTGAAATAATGTCAGCAACAAGAACCAGGCAAGATATATATAGACAGAGTCACCGGAGAAGAGCATGTCTTTGATGATTAATCAACGGGTGCAGTTCGAAGTTTTCCAACTGTTTCGTCTACCCAGTTTAGCTCACAAGGCTTGTTACAAACTTTGGCAAAGGTTTTCGGGCACTTTCCAAGGTGTCGCACGTTGGGATAACATCCACAGAACGATAACATCACCTTCTTGACAAATCGAGCATAATGAGATTCTCAACCAGGCTTTCTAGTCGGGAAGCGAACATTCGGTCTCGTGCCCATATATACGCATATCTATCTATATGTATGCAACTATATCAATTCCTGTACATACACACACACACACACACACACACACACACACACACACACACACACACACACACATATATATATATATATATATATATATATATATATATATATATATATATATATAACGCGTAAGTATATTCTATACTAGCTCCGCCACTATTTAAGACCATTCAACTGATAACTCCCTTGATGCCACTGCTGTAGCGATGAGCGTCAGTATGTTAGGGAATATGTTGTCTAAAATTGGCAAGTGTGAAATATCAGCTGACTGAAAGCCTTTGAGGACGAAGGCTAAGAATTTTGCTTATCCTGGTCTGACCAGAAACTTCCGTTTTCTTTCACCCTTATAGAATGTGCATCCATCATTTCTGTTCTGAAAAAAAAATTACACGTTAAAGAGTCACAGCGGGGAAAAACAGCGACCTGAGTAAAATTTGGAGAGTGAATGATAGAAAAAAAGAACAGTGAAATTATGAAAAAAAAAGAGGAATATGAAGAATTTAGAAATACAAAGACGGAGTGAGAATACTTGGGGGCAGGCGGTAATACTGGATAGAGAATTGCATGCGAGTAATCAGGAAATAAAGAACAAAGGAAAGTTACGTTCGAAGAAAAGAAAGAATGAAAAATTATGATGAGAAAGGGACAGTGATAAATAAAATTAACTAATCTGAAGAAGGTAGGAAAAGCAAGAAAGGTACAAAAATAATAAAAAAAATGAACGAAGTGATAAAAAATAGGAAATAAAGAAAAAAAAACGACAAAAACAAAGCAAACAAGAAAGAAAGATGTAAAGAAAGAAATATAAAAGGAAATATATAACGAAAGAAAAGAAGAAAGATACATTTAAAGAAAGAAATAAAGATAGATAAAAAGAAAGAAAGATAGATACAAAAAATAAAGAAATATATAAAGAAAGAAAGAAAGATAAAGATATTAAAAATGATAAAGATAAAAGAAAGATATAAAGATATAGAGAAAGATAAAAAGAAAGACATAACGAAAGAACGGAAGAAAGATAGATACAAAGAAAGAAAGATATATACAAATAAATAAATAAATATAAAGAAAGAAAAGAAGAAAGATAAAGATATAAAGAAAGTAAGCTATAAAGAAAGAAAGATATAAAGAAAGAAAAATTATAAAGAAAGATAAAAAGAAAGAAAGATATAAAGAAAAAAAGATATAAAGAAAGATAAAAAGAAAGAAAGATATAAAGAAAGAAAAGTTATAAAGAAAGATAAAAAGAATGAAAGATATAAAGAAAGAAAATAAAAAGAATGATATAGAGATAGAAATGTTATAAAGAAAGATATAAAGAAAGAAAGAAAAATATAAAGAAAGATAAAAAGAACGATATAAAGAAAGGAAGAAAGATAAAATCCAAAGAAAGGTATAAAGAAAGAAAGGAGTAAAGATATAAAGATAAAAAGAAAGATATAACGAAAGAAAGGAAGAAAGATAAATTTAAAGAAGGAAAGAAAAATAGATACAATGAAAGAAAGATAATGCTATAAAGAAAGAAAGATAAAAAGAAAGATAAAAAGAAAGATATAAAAGAAAGAAAAAAAGAAAGAAAGAAAGAAAGATAAAAATGAAAGAAAGTCATAACGAATGAAAGGAGTCAAGACATAAAGAAATGAACAAATAATGAAAGAAACCAGCAGACAAACAAAATGGATGATTCAGAAAGAAAGAATGAATATCACCGGGTGGTTGGGTAAATAAAGAAACAGAGGAAGAATTAAGAATTAAAAGAGAGAAAGAGCAACATTGAAAGAGAGAAAAAAAAAGAGACATATGAATAAATAAGAAATAATTAAAAGAAAACAAAAAAGAAAGAGAGTATAAAAAAGAAAGGTAGAAAGAATAGAAAAATGTAAGAGAGAAACTAACAAATTACATGGTTTTAAAAATAAATAATCAATAGCAACGGGCGGGGATATATAAAGTAACTTAATGAACTGAGAATGAAATACGAAATAAATTAGAGAAAAAAGAGAAAGAAAGAGAGACAGAGAAAAAGAAAAAATATAAGTAATCTCTATCTAAAAAACAGAAGATGTATGTTTGGCAGTCTGTGTGTGTACACTATTTATGCACGTCCAAATTTCTCTACCGATTTCGATGAAATTATATACACATATTACTAATCCAAAAAATCAGGTCAAGACCAACATTTCAATCTGTAGATATCATGCAAGAATTAAAATTCTGGGTTTTCTGATTAGCGGCTAAATGTGAACGTTGACCTAAACCAACACAAGTATTTTAATATACGTAACATTCCAAATTCATAACTAAAACTTGTTTTAAAAAACAATTGCGGCTCAAGTGAACCAATTATTTGGAAGCTTGCATCAGAGATTGAAGTAAGAGGATATAGATTTATTACACAAACTTACTGAAATAATTACAATTAAAATTCTGAAGCAATTTTAAATATGTTCATAATGATATGCATTTTCACTCATTCTTTCAGTGCACAACAAATTTGGCATGAGGTAAGCAGGATATGAAATTTAGACAATCTTCAAGCAAATAATTAAGCCATAGCAGATAATACGCTTTTTCACTGGAGTGCAATTTTTAGCGAAAATGGAACATTGTGCAGAACATTATGGCTATCTGAACCACTATGGGATCCTCCAAGAAATGTGAATATTGCTCTACAAGTTGGGGCCAACCTTGACTATATCTAAAACTGAAGTTGCCTGTCTGTGTGTGTGCCTATCTGTCTGTATGTATGCGATTTATGGCGTCCACATTTCTTGACCAATTTCGATGTAACTGTAATAACATGTTGCAGATTTACCAAGGTAGGTGAGGACCAATTTCTTAATCGTCAGTCCTTTCGGGCAGAAAAATCGATAATACTGAAGATGGGTACGGCTTTTTGCTAAAACTAAATTTCTTTTGTATGAGCTCATGTTCTTTGCAAATGATAGGTCATATTACGAGGTTTATGTAGAGTGCTTGATAGTTTTCATGCCACTTTAGGTTCACACAATAAACTGTGAAAAAAGCAGGTTTTTCGTACCACTTAAATTAAAAACTTGAATAACTTCCTCATTTTATATCCGATTTTCTTCAAACAGATCGCAAGGACTTTGCCATCATTCAAGAAATAAGATAGGAGTGGCTTTAGTCCTGATCGCCTCCCCGCATATAACGAAAATCCACGAAAATCTGTTCAAAAACTCTGTTTTTCGGCCATACATTCCTGGTTTTCATCCGATGCTTTTGTCATATAGATTATATATGGCACACATGTTTGGTTTAGATTATTTCAATTAAGTGGAGGAAATTTGCGAAAATTAGGTCCAAAATCCTAAATTTAAATTATATACACTTATTATTAATCCAGAAAAAATCAGGTCAAGACCAACATTTCAATCTGTAGTTATCATGCACGAATTGTAATACTGGGTTTTCTGATTACCGGCTAAAGTTACGCTAACCATATGCTGACTGTTGACCTTTGATTCAAAGATTGTTTAAGAAGGATTATTAAAGCGTTAAAAGGGAAAAATTCCCAAACATCTCATTAATCCCCATCTTTACAGTAAATGTATGAAGAAGTTCATGCGATTGCCATTGCCAGATTGCAGATGAATCCAAGTTTTTCTTGATTTTTCAGTTAATGTCGTGCTATTTGAAAGTTTAATAACTTTTTTAGATTAGTTAATGTAAAAAATGAAAAACAGGGATGAATCGTCAGAACTTGATTCATCTGCATAGGAAATTTACTGAATATCTAAAACATTGAAACAATTTAATCTCGAGCAACCACCACACAAGAAGTTTTTATCGATGGAATTCCTTAAGAACAATCAAACACTTGTAAAGGACATACTGCAATAAAAGATGAGTGATAGATTAGATAAGTATACCAACGGATAATGCATGCAAGAGTGGATACAGACAGATATTTCTAGACACATGTGTGCAAGTATACAGGTGGTGCGGTTATACAATTACGGACATGTACACTCGGGTAACGCTAATTCTAAATAAAAGAACATAAATAGATACCACCTATAATTATGTATATATCGAGTAACCTGTAAAAAAAAAAAAAATCAGTGATAAATTGGGTGTAGACAAATATCTCTAAAAAGCGTCATATAATATATATATATATATATATATATATATATATATATATATATATATATATATATATATATATAATTTAATATAAAATGTCAAACACTAATATTCCATGGTTATAAATTTATTACATTGGAATAATCACGATTCAATTTATCAGACCTATAAATTCAAAAAAACTTTTTTTTTTAAATATGTAGGTCTGATGAATTAGATCGTGTTTACGATTCCAATGTAATAAATTATAACTATGGAATATCATTGCCTTTTTATATTATATTCTTACTCTGTCCTGGACATTGAGTTCTACTTGGATTCTATCTTCTTAGGAATTTATATATATATATATATATATATATATATATATATATATATATATATATAGATAGATAGATAGATAGAATGATATACACACAATTTTAGTATTCACTGTCTTTATGAATGTTTTCCTTTTTTATGATATATTAATGTTATTTTTAAATAAAAGATTTTACTTTCATATTACCTCATATGTGTGCATTAAGTGCATTATATAAAGATTTTCACATCTTCGCGAAATTGTATCTACTTAAGGCATTAAATTTTTTTCAAGTTTTTTTTTTTTAAAGCACGTGTTTTATTCGATTTGTAGGCGAAATGAAATCCAAACGGGCTATTGTTGTTTACTAACTGGAATTAAACATAATCTCAAGAAAATTGCAGAAATTATAAAAAACGGAAGAAAGGGTAAATGTCATTGTTTAATTGTGTTTTGAAACAGAAACCATACTCCAAATTCCACTTGAGAACATTTCAGTTAAGAAAACATAAAAATATTCTGCACACGTGGTAATTTGCAAAACCACACCAACTGGATAATATTTTGATTAGACTTACATATGAGGTTTGGACATTTGCCTAATTTTCAGATACGATAAGGGTCAGATTACATTTAAATTGATTTATACCCGAGTATCTACGGTTCGCTATAAAGGATTAAAAAAGGATCACAGTAGAAAAATACATAAATATATAAAGACAGGACGAACAAGTGAAGGAATAAAGGAACTAAAAAAAGAAGTAGCGTAATATAAGAATGACGTGAGGATGGGATAATGGATAACGTCTCGGAATAAAAAAATCAAAGAGTCGGGTTCGAATTTCAGTTGGGTTCATTACATGTATTTACGTGCAAATACCCTTGTGAAAGGTATGAATTTATTTCTTCTCCGGTTCTCCGCTTCTCAGCAATGGGTTGAGTAACAGGACAGACCTGTAGGCATGGTTGGAAACCAGTCAGAAAGGAATGGTATCATTCTACGAGAAAATATTCTGCTTAGTCTCTCATGAATCGCCCAAGCCTTTATCCCTCATAGAACCTGCTTGACTGATTGAAGAATGGTAACAAAAAGTTCGAGGTAATTGCTAAAATTGGAACAATATAGCTTTTAAAAATGAAAGAAAAGTGAGAATGACTAATAGAAGATAAGAAGTTTTGATAAATGTAAAAAAGGGCAACGTAGATAAATAGTTGAGATGAAATAATTAGAGATTTAAATAAAGGAACCAGAACGCAACTGTAAGAAATGTCAAAGAAATTCAAGGAAGAAATGCGTGAATTCAGAGAGGAAAAATAGAAAATATGTATTTCTATTCCACAAGAAGAAAGAAAACAAAATCAGAAAAAAGAGTTAGCAAACAGACAAATCTTACTCAGTTAAAGACAGGAAAGTGTGGACAGCCATGATTACAAATGTCCTGAAAAGACGCGTCATATATAAGAAAATAATAAGAAGCATCATGCGGTTTTCAAAAGATTATCTCCAACGCCTCGTATTCCATGTTCACTTTTCTTTATATTCCCTAAGAAATTCACTATAACTGATCTATACATCGAAACTCGTCATAAACTAATTAGAATATTGCGTGGTAAAATTTAAAGAAAGCAATTCTAAAATAAAAATGTAAAATATTTAAAGATACAAATGAAAATAGAAAGCAAAACACATATTTTGCATTTATAGCAATGCGAATATCAACCAGAGTGAAAACTTACCTATTTCTCTCATATATATATATATATATATATATATATATATATATATATATATATATATATATATATGTATGAATTCAGGCCTGACGATTGCGTCCAACATGAAACAGCCTGTCGCCTCTGAGAGTTGACTTCAGTGTTATTTTTATATTTATATTTACATACGGTCTATCTCTGATATTGAGCACTTTATCCCATAAATAAACCAAACCTTAAAACTATATTTCTCATATATATATATATATATATATATATATATATATATATATATATATATATAATTTATATCAACACCCACCGGCGACAGTCTGTTTCATGCTTAAACGCTATCATTAGACAGTGTGTACTGTGTGTTTGTTAATGGTGCAATTTGATATTCACGTTAGTAGACGAAAATAAAAAAAAAATAACAGTTTAATAAATTATTCTAAAAACTATTGCGAAGAAATATTTTGGGATCCGAATACAGTTATTCATGGCTATTTTATAGGGTTGTTTATTATCCTTTCCTTTTATCATTCATGGCTTTACTATATTAGTTGATTGTTATTATTTCTTTTACTTCCATCTATGCGTGTATTCGGAGTCTGTTTATTTGTTTATTGTTTACATAGTAATTGGAAACAGTCAGAAAGGAATGACATCATTCTACGAGAAAATATTCTGCTTAGTCAGTCATGAATCGCCCAAGCCTTTATCCCTTTATGCATTCAAATGATCGGCTTCTTTATACAGGATAAACATATTACGAAACTCTTATCGAAACGTTGTTGCACGCAAATATTTCTGCGTAATGACATATCTTTCCTCACAGGTAGACACAGGCAGAGAATATATTTACTCACCATTAAAAGGTATCATGTTCCAATGAACCCAGAGGCGCAGAAAACGTAAATGTTGTCACCTTTTCTTTGGTTTATTATTCTTAACTCCAAGCCTTTTTTATGTTTCGGAAATATATTCTTCATCCAATGTGACGAGAATACAAGACTAAACAACGTTGACAAACAAAATAAGAAACTAAAAAAAAAGGTACACCTGAGAACATTAGTCTTTAAATTAAATAGCCACTTCAGATGTAAACTTATACGGATCTCATATAAGGTACCCTACACGTTCCGCATCGTGTAAGCTACCATCTGTGTACATTTCTTTTCTCATATCAATTATTAAAACTGGCTTCTAGAGAATTATTTTTTTACATCTTAAAGAAGTCGATCATTCAACAAAATTAGATAGACTGGTACTACAAACCACAAAGAGCTTTATATAATAACAAAGACAGATCATTTGAAGACTTCCAAAAGCATCCAAAAAATTAGGACCGCTTAAAAAGGAAGCGAAATGGTATAATCAAAATGTCTTCACTCGACATCAACTTAAATTGTTTGGGATGGAAACTGACTTCAAGACCAGAATGGACAATAGCACTTAAGGAACATCAGAAGTGTAGTTTCTTGAAAAAAATAAAAGAAACGTTTTAATAGGAATATTATATAAAATTCAACCTAATGTACTGCTAAATATTCAGCCAATAAATAGCTATTGTTACCTTTACTGAAACCAGCATAGAACTCTCGGTGATTAGATCTTGGCGGCTGACCTTTTCTTTGTCTGAGATCTAATAGCTTCGTAGGTGAAAAAAAAACTGATTGGTCACATTCACTGACTCGTAAAGCAAACCAATGTCGTTCCCCTCATGACCGAGAGGTCTTATAACTTTCACCGATCAAGGAAGCCCCTTACTTTTACTTGGGATCCAAACACAACTCTGACCTCAAGTGGGACTCATTCATAAGATCCATTTTTAAAGATTCTAGGAATGTGGTTGCTTCCCTGTACCAATCTAGTAAGTACCTGATTCCTCCTGCTGTCTCAGATCAGTTGGGAAATGGATAACTGTTGTCATATATGGACAGGAAGTGTCCCGTATTCGCTTTCCTCTCTCGATAGATCCTCTGCGGCTTTGTGGGTGACGAATTATCCCTTCTCGCAAATGAAAGGTCGCAAGCCTCTCGCTGTTCTATCTCTATTTCCATGGAAAGTGTCCAGACATACATTCCACCAGTTCTGTCTTTCACCGCTAATAGCCGTCATACTACGCACAATGTTGCGGACCAGTATCACTCCTTTCGTATTCCATTGTATGTTTCACTAGATCAGATAAGTCCCAGGATCCGCTGCTTTGTTGAACCGACTCCACGATGATGCTTCCCCGATCAATACAATCTTAACTGCTTCCGTCTAGGGTTAATTGTTATCTTCCCCACATATCCCCATAGAATGTCTCTCTTACTCTGTAACCCTCTACCTCGAGTGACTTTTGAGCCTTGTAAAGGGTGAATATCATTGTAAAAATGTTAACATTTTTTTTTGTATTTGAATGTGGAGCGCAGAGCTCGAATATAATTCGATGTTTTCGAATGTTTGTGAAATAAATATTACATTTGACCGATACACTGCAAATAAAGAGAAGAGTAAGCTACGGTGACTAACATGAAGATATTAGTGACATTGTAAAAATATTAATCCAGGAATCATGTGAATAAAAACATTATAAGTATACACACACACACCTACATACAATCACGCAGACGCACTCACATAGAGACTCCCTCACTCTCACACTCTCTCTCACTCACACATACACATATGCACACATATAATCAAATAAGCGAAAGAATAGATGGAGTAAAAGTCCACAGTTTATAGCATTTACATTTTTTTTAAAAAGTTGTCCAAAGAAAGTGAAGCAAAATATTATTATAATAATTATAATAGATTATAATAAAAACATTTTGCATCGCTACACAAAAGATGTCATGCTTCAATACTATAATTTTATTTCTTCAGACGCTGGTATATACCTTATGATAAAAAATGATTTATTAGGGAACTTAAAAACAAATCATTACCTCTTTTCAGAGGTTAAAGTATGGTATAAGGTCAGAAGTAAATATATAATTGTAGGTGTGTCTCGATTAACCAATCGATCTACGCTAAAATAGAAAAGTATGATCAGAGAGTGGAGGTGATAGGGTTATTTTTTCATTTCACGATAAATTGACGCTTGGACATGTCACTCAACGATCGTAGAAAACATGGCAGCGACAAATGGATGTAGCCAAATATGATGTTCCGATTTGTTGAAGTAGACATAAATCTATAAGAAACAAGTTTATTTTTTAAAAAGGTTTTAAATTCAGGAAATTCTTAAAGGGGCCAATTGATATAATCAAAAACGTGGAACCTCTATATACGATGCTGTGTGTGTGTGTCCGTATGTGTATGTGTATGGGTGACTGCCTTTATATATGTGTTGTGCGTTTATTCACGAATTTTTTTTAATAGCGTTAATTATTTGTTATATATTTATACTGAAATTCCTTAAAATGTTTCACTCATCAATGTTTCAACAAAGTCTGATTAGTTAATGATCACTGAAAATGTTCCCACACGTCCGAAATGGCAAAACGCCAAATCGAGCCAAGAGGGTAGACAAAACATTTTCAATCTGTGTATTTCACTGGTGCCGCTTGGGAGCTGTGTGGAAGAAGTCGGCCGGTATTTGTGGGAGATAATATTTTTATGCATTATCACTAGTATAATAGGGCGGGTTACTTATGAAAAGTGAGTGATACTTGGATAAAATGGTTGGACTGGAAGAATAAAGAAATCTCTTTATATTTCATCTCTCTGCCTCATATATATATATATATATATATATATATATATATATATATATATATATATATATATATATATATATATATACAGAAACACACTGACACAGGCACACACACACAAACATGCATAAAAATGCACGAATGTATTAGTCGTGGTCTGTCATATGACACC